TACAATACGGTGATTTCCAAACGGAATACTGCTTCCAACTTCCGGATAGTTTTCCGGTCCGTTTCCGGTTGGAATGTCGTTGGAAATCACTGGAAGTAGCGGGAAATAACACCGTTTCCCGTCGGTTCCGGAGTCCGGAATCATCGACCTGGGAATTGCTCTTTTTCATGGCAAAAATTTTAAAGTTCTCAATGGGAATGCATTTTACCAATTTAAACTAGAAATAAACTGGCCCATTTATATTGGTTCTGGCTTACTGGCACCAACATTTTTGACTATTTATACTAGAAAAGTCATTAGAAAAGTACGGAGAACAGCCGTGTCTGGTATACTCACCAAGAAAATAGATGATTAAAATATTAAACTAATAAATTATAAACTCAATTAGTGGCACGTTAACTCTATCGATGATCCTCAATGCTATCTAATTATGGGAAGAAATAACTTGATACTTCATATTAGTGTTTGAACACTTTAAGCTGAAGTAAGACTCAATTCCAGAATTCTTAGAGAAATATAATGAAATTATATGCTTGTCTACTAAAAAATAGAAGTCTAATCATTTTCTGGATAAAGTTAAAGTGCAACGAAAAAACTGTGTGCAGAAGTATATTTAAATGTTTTTATTATCGATCAGTCTCAACATTCGCTCTAATAATGGAGTTAATATAAATGAATAAATCAGCTTGGTTTTTTTTCATGTGAAAACAAGATCTTGACCTTCTATAGTTCCAGCCATTTTTGGGATAGCTAAATACTAAATAGTTACATTTAGACTGTGTACTCTAATGAGAATGCATCAACAGCTGAGCTTTCATTGATTAGTTACCAAAGAAAAAAACAATAATTGATGAGTGTGAGTGTGGTGTGGATTTGGGTTGGTGTGTGGAGAGATAGCTCAGCCCCACCCCACCCACATCTATACCATTGAAAAGGTGTTCATTGGATGGATTCCATCGATTTCTATCTACCTTATATTGCTTTCAGCTTTTGATCTCCTCTCTGGGCGAACTGGGACGAGTTTTACGAAAACAATCTGCTTATTTTTGTTTATTTCTTTGCAGTATTTTGGATTTTTTTGCAATTTGGAAGGCTTTTGAAAAAAATTCAATAATTCATTCGATAGAGCGCATCAAGTTTTATATTGGTTCCCTCTCTGAGCGAATCGCGACCCAAGATATCCTACGTTACACACTCACAATACATGAAAACGTGTTAAACTTTCGCTTGGCTGCACACAATAGATACACACAAGCTTTTTTTAATGAGGGTTTGCGTCTTTCGCTCTTTCAACATGCATAGCTTATGAAGCAGAAAGTAGTTAAAATGCAACACGCCAAATGCATACAAATTATTGCTCTAATAGTAAGAGTACTCAACAGAAAGTGTTTTTTTTATCGAAAACGATTCGTGACAGTGCTCGTCATAGTGATCATGTTATACCATTTTCCAAGTTCTTCAATTTTTAATTCATTTTCCGAATATAACCGAAACATTAACAAAAGTACGCTTGACACAGTTCTCAATTCACTTTATGATCCTTGGATTGAAGAGCAGAAAAAAATCAATGTTACGTATTACTACTTAGCGAACGATAGTAACTATCATTATGAATTTCGATATGAATTCAACGCCAATCAAACGACTGATGATCATCGCCTTATGATATTCACTACGGGTCGTGGTCGCACGTGTACTGACTATTGGAGATTTCCTGTCGGCCGTCGTATTCTCTATGCTATGCGCGATGCTGGTTTCTCCTTACTAGCAATATGCTCAAAACGAAGATTATATGAGACTGAAAAATTCATTTTAGATAATCAAGATGTAAAATGGATATATAAGTCACTACAACGGTGGATAAACAGAGTTTATTATCAACGGTTTCAACGGTATCCTGTTTTATACATCCATGGTACTAGTCGTGGAGCAGCTTTTGCTCCTTTAATTGCTCGAATCCTGCCAATACGGGCCCTAATCTTAACAGTTTATCCAGGTCATAAAAGCTCTTTGACTGCTCGTTCTTCCTACTCTCATAACATGCAAAATAGGCTTATTCTTGATACCACTTTTGCGAACTGGTTTTATTTTGACTATTGTTACAATTCGCCATTATCTTTGACAAAGAATCTGAATCTTTGCCCATTTGAAAATAAATTGTGGCATTTTTATCCGACTCCTCCTACATTCTTTGTTGCTTTAGATTCAGATCCATCAATACCTATGAAACGATATACAGAACTTATCAAACTAATGCGTAATAACTCATTACAACTGGGAGGACAACTTCTCAATCAGGAAGAATCAATCATGCTAAGCATATTATCTCCAGTAAATTTGACTCCTAGTTACATGCAGCAAAACTTTGATCTGTGGTATAATAAGCCTTATGCTTCTCGTATTTTCTTTGAACACTACAATAATTTAGCTGCGCGTGTCACGAACAATACAAAACATGGAACATGCCGCTGTTCGAAAACGAATTTTACATACTGGGAAGGTTTTACTAACATTACTACAACATGGTCATTACAGAAGCAAGCAGAACACAAGGATTACGTTCAAGATATAAAAAACTTTCGTAGTATGTTTTGTGAGGATCTGTGTGGTGACATCATGGTATATCATGGAATAGTTTCGCGAAATATTGGAAAAGCACTCGATTGGATCACTAAAATAGACCTTCTTCGACATTCACTACTCATTCAAGATTATATCTCGAGACCGTTGCGAGTTTGGATGTATCGAAAGCAGTCGCTAAACAATGGAATAGAAAATTTTTCTTCTCAGAAAGTCGACTGGACTGTTGTAGGTAAACAATATCAGATGTACACTGTAGAGTACTTAGTTCAAGATTACTTCGCACGGCTCAATGCCTCAAACAATGTCTCTCGCCATAATATCATCTGGGTCGAAAATCCTATGCTTGCCGACTTCTTCATTGTTCCTCATGACTTGATGTATTTTTATCTCCGTAACAAACAAGAGATACTCAACCAAACAAACAACGACGTCCTATGGCAGACATTAAATGAAGGTTATTTCCAAAAAATGCTATCAAATATGTGTAAAAGGTTTCCCTATTGGACTATGGCCAAAACTACGGACCAGATCGGTTCGAACCATATCTTTACTTTCGTTGGAAGAAAAAATATGGGATTTTTGTATGCAAAACATCAAAAGGTATTACGAAATGTGATACAGCTAGTATTCACAGATGTTAGACAAAATTTAGTGCCACCGAAATCAAATCTTCCGTATTCACATCGAGATAAAGCAATGAGTTATCGACATGGTTATGATATAGTCATCCCTCAATTCACAGATCTCAAATTGAATGAAAGTTTATTTTCAATTCGGAACAGTAGTTCCTACGATAAGAAAATTTTATTTTTCTTTGCTGCAAATCTCAGTCACACGATTGCGCTTCATTCTGCCAGTCCTCGATTAACTTCGTTATGGAGTAACTTTTCCATAGTAAGGAAATCCACTACGACAACTACAATTGAAGGAATTTCGTATGAAACACTGCTGATAGCTGATGATAACGCAACATCAGATGAATACATCAAATCGATGCTACGCAGTGTTTTCTCTATTTGCCCTGAAACTTTCCGTCCATGGTCATATCGAATTTATGAAGCAATTCAATTAGGGGTAATACCTGTCATTCTAGCAGATAATGTTGTACTTCCATTTGAAAGATTCATCAGCTGGCAATCATTTAGTGTAAAAATCAATGTTAGTAACCTACATGAAATAATCAATCGTGTCAGTAATATTACTTCATTTAAGAGATATATCGCACAAAAACTGAGATATGCATCATCATATTCCCATATATTTCGATGGCCTTATGCCATTGACAATCGTGTACGATATAAAAAAGAAACACTTGTAACAAACGAATATTTTAATGGAAATGCCCCAACTGTGTTCCGCTATATATCTTTAGAAATGCGATGCCGCCGTTTGGAACAGCTGTATGGATTTACATCAGATACTTCTTCACCAGTATCAATAGCAGCTCAACAAAAGGCTTGCAACAATCATCCGACAATTTGTCCCTGTCATAGTAAATGGCCTCCTCTTGCTTTCCAAGAATACATATGACAAATGAATAATGCGAACTTAGAGCATATCAAAAGGGTGGATCATTTTATACCATGAAACTTAATTAATGACACTTATTAAGTGACTTCAATTACTATTAATACTAATGGTTAACGTTTTCACTAAACATCAATATTAAGGCCCCCCCCTCTCAGAATCGACTGGCCACTTTGGAGTATAGGTTTGGGCTGAAACTTTCATGAATAAATGGGCCTAGTGAGAAACGCTTGTGGTAAAAGTTTCAGCCTTGTATACCTTTCTAAACTAGACTTATGACTTGTTTTATAGCTTCCACGAGAATTGCTATAACTTCATGACTATGAGAGCTATCGATGTCAGGTCGGTTTTAAATTAAAGCTAGTCTCCATACGGAAGTTTTCATCACGCAGAATTTTGAAATTCCCTTCTGTTCATATTTTTATAAGTATTTTACTCGGTATGACTGCCAAAGTAGGTATAAAAAACGCACCAAATTGGACTTTTCTCAGTGCAGGAATCCAATACCGAAAATCCGTCTGATAAAAAGTTAGCTATAATTGAAGCCCTTAAAATAAAAAAAGAATATCAGGGAAAGCTAAAGCCAAACGAAAGTTATAGCAAATTTTCTATTTGAGACCCACGTTTTCAGTCCCACATTTAGGCATTTTTAGAAAGGTGTGTGGGAGTAAGGGAGATGAAAGAGTATTTCTTCAATAAGTCTGTCAAAGCTTCACCTTTTTTCAAAAAAATTCGTTGTATTCTGAAAGAGGAGATCACGGGGAATCTTTCTATGATAAAACTCGATTTCGATTTTTTTTAGGGGGAGGGCCCTTAATACATCAAATTTTTAAAGCAAAAACTTACACTTTACATTAGTGTTTAATTAATGTAAATGATTCACCACTAACATATCGCAATTGTCAATAGAGCTACGTGCTGTTTTGTTCTCAAATTTTACACAAGTATTTCGATGGAAAAATAACGTAGGTGAAATTGACACTCGATTCGTCCTTGTACTTGTTCCAGCGCTCTCATTCTGGTTTCAAGTATCGTTCGATGCGACCTACTGAAAGATGTAATTATATTTTCAATCGGTAACAGCATTTATCTAGAATTTCTAAAATACTTGTAAACCGTCACTCAGCAGAGAAGACACAAAACATAATTCCACCTTCAATTCGCCCAAGAACATGTTCCAAATAGAAGTCGACATGCTCTGTCACATGGTAGAATCAGACTTTTTCAGGATGCTAGGATGATTCAAATAATTCTAGGCAGCATATAGATTCCTAGACTTTTCAAAAAATTTCTACATGATTGTAGCATAAATCTTAAATTTAATTGCACCATTCGACAGAACATGTCAAATTCTACTTAAAACATGTACCTGGATGGATCTAAGGTTGAGTTATGTTTTGTGTCTCATCGGTCCAATGATGGTTTTTTAGTATTTTTGGAAATGGTAGCGGCGTATAAAACACTCTATCGACCCATTCTGATTTTTTCAACTCAATCTAGTCAAATTACATATAAAAAGAAAGCTGCCGTCGATACAAGCATTTGATGCTAAATCCGTCACGAAAAAATGAATTTCAAAAGAGTTATGGACACAAACAAAAGTTGACTATTTAACTGTTTGTCTTTGAAACAGCCTCCCCTTTTCAATACAATTGTATCACAATAGAACTGTTTTCATAGCTACCATTCGGTCGACATTTTTAAGACCTACAAAATAATAATTATAATACACGAAAAACATTGATCACTTGATGATCATTGGGCAGTAATTTTCAACAACTATCTTTTTTTATTTTTCTTCATATTACGACGAAAAGTTTGGTGGAAATTGGCATGGACGATTTTTCTCATCTATATCATTCGATAAACATTTTAACACGCTGTAAAATAGGACGACTATAAAAGTCAAAAAACATTGACAACTTAAAAGTTGCTTTGGCACATACTTTTGTGACTGCCGATTTCAAATCTAAGACTTTTTTCAAGTCGAATACCGATTATTCTGTTTGAAAATGTCGAGTACCACTCAAATATCCGATTACAACAGTAACATTGGAGCGAAAATGTTGCACAAGGCATCGAATTTTAAGTTGAAAATAGTTTCATTAGAAAGAGCACATTGAATTCCGTATCCGATGAAAAAATCTTACTGACACACCTCGAAAAGCTACACTTCATAAGACTGAGAAAAGCATTGCTTGTAACTATATGACGCAATCGAGGCGGTATTTGGCATTTACTGATAGAAAAATATTTGTGTATTTGATATGTTCTTATATATTCTGATAGCGAAGAACATTTTGCATCGAACAAGCCTACTTTCAAACAAATTAAATCGCATATTCATGAACCGTTGGGTCAACAACTGTTTTTTACGGCTCCCAGAGAATGCTTCAGATCCTTATTATTATTCGATGAATTTTAGAAACGAAGATAAAGTCTGTATTAGGCAAACTTAGCTTTAGTGAAATATAACTACTTGTACTAAAACCAGAGCAAAAACATTCTTTCGATCCCTGAGGGGCACCGAGATGTTAAAAAGTGAGTTGCCATAGAATACACAATAAAATTCTGAAAATAATCAGAAGTCAATGATGATTCTCAAGCTAATAAAATTAGGTGCATATTTTCTATTACGCCAGGTTCCTAATTTTGCCCACCTCTTTTTAGTTGTGCATTTAGTGTATTCATCAAGACTGAGAAAAAGACAAAGGGTTTAACGAACAGTTTTGTCGTCCTGCCGTATACTACTCCTGTATTTTTCTGTTGTTTTTCGACAACTGCTAACACCTTCAGCACTTTGTAGTGAAATTCGTTGATGAGATCCAGCACTTCCACCTTGACTTTAGCACTATTTTGTTCGACAGTTCTTCTATTAGACAATTTATCTGCATTTGTAATAAAAGCAAAGTTATGTATTTGTGGTAAAGAATCAGGTATTCATGTACTATTAAGATACGATGTATGCTGCAGAATACAATATTCATTTTCAAAAGAAAATCAGAGATTTATAGAACCAAAAATAAAAGATTTAAGGTACGGCTGGAATCCTGTGAATCTAGTGTTACTTAGCGAAATCGACGGTTAACAGGCGATCTACCCAGGATTCCTATTCAAAAGACGGTTAATCCCGATATTGCACGAATGGTCTTTGGAATCGATAAAATCAACTCGATTTTCAGGACATACGTCGCCCGCCTCTCTTCAAAATTTACAACTCCGAATGTAGTACAAGTGTTTGACTGTTAATACGTTGACTTATCAAAATCTTGGCATTTTCTAACTCGTAGTCAAGAAAAAATGCTGATGGAAACGTTTTATTGAAAATTTTAAGTAATATACCCTTTTCTATCCGATTACTGCCTTTATTCTTTTATATAGTTGTTTTTGCTTCAAGCAGTTTGTTCAATTTCTTGACTAATTTGCCCAAAACGACTATAGTACTATTGAGGTCAATAGGCTTTAACTTTTTTGTATTGAGCACGGCTTTGGTGCTTGGTGCTTTGACTGATGACGTCGATGACTGCTTATGAGAATGCTGCTTTCCATAATTATATTGATCAAAGGCTATTGGCTGTTCAATGGTGCAAGGACATATGTGTGAATATGTTACGCATGCTTGCTGACGCGCGTTTATTGATGCACTTGAGAAAATATCCCACGAAGCACCAAGAAACTGTTCTATATATCGACATTTTAATTCTCGATAGATGTAATGAAACACATTTGTCTTCACATCTTCCTCTGGAATGAAACGATCTGGTTTCTTCTTGTTTCGGTCGTTCTTGAACAGCCATCGAAAGGCATTCATGTACCGTTGAGCATTTCTCTTCTTTCTCTTAATACGCTCTTCAAAATTCGAACTACTATTACCGATGGCGAAATCTAATATATTATACACATTGCTGACATTCAATTTTAACGAAAAGGAACGCCAAGGAATGAATCGTTCAAAAGGCAGCACAATTCCATCTGACAAGATCAGAGGAATAGATCCCAGATTGATGGCTTCATAAATACGAGGAGTCCAAGGACTATAACCTTCAGGGCAAAGTAAGAATACGCTTGACACAATTGACTCTAAATATTCTTGCATAGGAACGTGACCATCCACGACAGTGATTGGATGGAATTCTTTCTTTTCAATTCTGATCAAACTGGAGAGATTTTTGGTAAATGCAAATAACAGACGCCTAGCTGATTTCGACGAGAGCGAATGATTAAAGATACCAGCAAAGTACAGTAGTCGTTTTTTCATCTGGTACCAGTCATTTGACGTATTGATTTCTATGATTTCTGTCGGTGTAAAAGGTGGAGCTACAATATCATAACCATGTCGATAGACAATCGATAAGTTACGATGTAAATACAGTTCTGGTGCATTTTGCGATAACAGATCTTGTCGGACTCCAGTGGGCCCTAGCTGGATTACATTTTTGAGTAGATCTTGAAGTCGATTATCGAGAACGCCCATATTTCTACCTCCAACGAATGCAATAAGATGATTAGATCCTGGTTTATCTGTCATAGTCCAGTAAGGAAATTCATAGCGTATTCTGTCAATTATTGGCTCAAAATAATGATTGCTATAGTGAGAAACGTGCGCCTTGAATTGCTCATCAGTAAAATTAACAAATAGCTGATGAAAGAATATAAAGCAGTACAAGTCGTGAGGAATCAGAAAATAGTCCGCCAAGAGAGGATTGCCCACGTAGCTAGACTGGTTAAAGTAAACTTGGATGATATGTTCTGAAGAGTACATTTCATTGCCATACAGATTGTGTGAACAATTAGCCTTGATATGATGATTGCGATATCGTTCAGGCACTAGACTTTCCTTGTTATACATCCATATTCGTAGCGGGCGAGACAGAAAGTTTTGCATTTTCACACGATGCCGCAATGAGTCAATTTCACTCACCCAAAACAGAGCGCCTTCAATGTCCAACGAGAGCATTGCGTGTTGCCCACGTAGATCCCCACAAAATTCTTCGGTTAATTGCTCGTGAAATGTTTTAATATCATTACTGTACTCGCGGTATTCTTCTTGTTGTTTTTCATTCCATGTCTGCATAATTGAGGGATATCGTTCGAAAAAAGTAAAATCTCCACGATGACACCAGAATGTTTGAAACTTATACTCACTATTTTGCTGTTCAGGAAGCTTTGGAAAACCACTCAAATGTTCATAGAGAAGTTCAGAGGCATGCAGCTTATGCCGCCATTGGTAAAAGTGTTCTTGCATATAAGATGGTGTAGCGTTTGGTGGAAAGCTAATGTGCAGTTTTAATGACTCCGTATCGTTCAGAACCAATCCGCCCAATTCGTAAGAATCATCTTTGATCGCTGCTATTAACCTCGTATAGTCGGATTCATTTAATTTTTTATCATTTACTACATGAACAAAGTATGTGGGAGGCACAGGGCTAAAATTCGATATTTTGTTGCTTTGAAATAAACACAAGTCGAAGGTCATTGTATAACAAAATTTAAAGTGAAACCAAGAAGAAAATGTTGAATCTACTATAAGACGCGTTTGTAAGTCTCTGTCTAGTACTGATCGTATCGTCATGCCTTCAAAGTAGCCGGGATATATGTACAAAATTTGCGCCCGGACAGGAAGAACACGACAGAGCAAGCCAGCAAAGTGGGAGCCACGGCTAACTCCATAGAGATATAACAGTGGATACTGTTCATATTTCGCATAGTACACATCATTCATCCACACCTGAAGTGATTTATATATCCACTTGACATCCTGATTCTCTTCTATTGGAATATTATGATCGAAAGTAGATCGAGCTGAGCAAACAGAAAGTATAGAATAATTCGAGGAACGAATGGCAGATAAAATACGACGGCCAACAGAAAATGTCCACCAATCAATGCATTTTCGTTTGTGGCCACCCAGAAGAAGGATAAGACGATGAGAAGAATCCTTTTTCAACAACTGATAACGAAACTCATAATGATAAGAGGAATTTGGGCTAAGTGTGTAATATTTAACTTGCGTATGTATTAGCCAATGAGACTGATTAGAAGCTTCAAGTATAGTTGGTATTGTCTGGACGTCAACTTTTGTATGTATTAGCGAATGAGATTGATTAGAAGCTTCAAGTATATTTGACATTGTTTGGACGTCAACTTCTGTATGTGCCAGCTGAAAAAATAGCCAGCTGGTGAAGAGTGCATGGACGCATAAAAGTATGAAAAGTATACGAAGGGTGAAACGGCATAAGAAGTATCTTTTCATCTAGCGACTGTAAAATGTATTTTCACCGTAATCTGTTTGATGTAGTGTTGGAGTTATCACTATTTCATAATATGGTTATATGAAAGACGAAGAAAAAAAATCAAGCGATCATTCCTCATGTTCACACCCAGTCAGACAAGATTTTTTAAAAAACGGTGTTTTAACGCGTAAAAAGCGTACATTTTAACGTTTCATGAAATTTGAATTTTTTTCGGAAAATAAAAGAAGCTTGTGAATAGCAACACTGAGAAAATCATTTGATTCGAAACAAAACAAAGCGTTTTAACGGATCAAAATGTGGGCTTTTACACGCAAAAAACATCGTTGTTTTCAAACCTTGTCTGACTGGGTAGTGATAAGACGTATATTTTCTCTTTGCACTTCAAGTACATATACGTTTTGTATATGTGCACGTGTTGAGTCGCCTGAAAAATTATTTATTTATTATATTATTTTAATATAATATAATATAATTTGTACTAAAAAGTAGGATAATGAGTTATGAAACATATGGAAACGTGCCTGCAATGCAAAAAGATCTTATCTGTGAAGGATTTGATATACAACAGAGAATACAACAACATAATGATAATGAAAAAAACACGGCATCATCATAAACTCCAAAACATCATACTACAAATCACAGTCAAATTAATGATGATCAATATCCACCCAAGTGAATGAATCCTATATCGGATCCAACCAGTCTATAAAATCCGATGGGATTTCGGGTCACAGAACCACTAACGGATCCGGCGGGGAAAAGCATTTAATTAATTGATCGCTAATTAGTGCCTTAAGCCAACATTAGAGGGTAGTCCGAGTCGAGTGTTGGATCCGTCACAATCCAACAGTAAAATCCGATGATTATATAATGTTATTCCGACACTAGGGATCTGAATGTCATTCTACAACCCGGAATCCGATAGGAATTCGCTGGTTTATTGGAAATTTATATAAAATCCGATCGGAATCCTAAGGATCTTATTGTGTCCGATTGTCGGAATGATTCTCCTGGGTGCAGATGAATATCCAGATGATGACATAGAATTTCAACAAATAAATTATAACAGGCAAAGAAAAAAGCGAATTAATAAGGAAAATGACCAATGAATTCATGCCCGGACGATAATTAATTCAAATATTAATAATAATAGGAGCATACAAACAACAACAACAACAACAACAACAAATAATAATATTATTAAGGATAACCCAATCCAAGTATCTAAGCAAGCATTATATTTTGCATCTGGGTATCACCATCAACCGATTACAATTGGTTTAGTGGAATCTCGACACAGGAATTTCTAAAATGTCCAATTTCCAGTGGAATTTCGTCAAAATGTCCAATTGTACCGGAAATTTGACAAAACTGTCGATTTTCCGAATTTGTCGAAATTCTTCACGAATTAGGACAATATCAATTTTTGCTGATGATTTTATTGTCCAATATCCGATGGAAATCGGACAATATACATCATTGCTGGAATTAATATGTTTGTTTGAAATACACATTACTTCATTTGTCAGTGAATAAAAAGCTAAGAAGTACAATGTAATGAAATTGAAAGAAAGAAACAGAATTTTAGATAGGATATATTCTTAACCTATGACGTACATTTTCCGAACAAGCGAGTGGGTGTGGGTGTAAACTAAGTTAAAATGTGTCGCATGTGTCGTGATTTACGACACAAAGTACGACTAATTAGAGTCCTACGCGAGGTGCTCGTTGCGACACATTTTGTCCAGCAAGAACACGACACATTCCTGTACGATACATTCGACACATTCTGAAACGTGTTTCAAACCTATCATGTAGCGAATTTTTAATTTTTTTTCTTTTATAAGCATATTATTGTATCTTTTTAATTTAATTTCCCTCACATATCCATTTTTTTGGAACTCAAGGAGATCAGATCGTTGGATTTGCTGGCGTTTAGTTAGTCTGATCTCTATCAGACCACTCCAGAGTAGGCCTTCCCGATCACAGATCAAGGAACACATTTTCTCGACTCAAAATATTAGTCGAAAAATAGTCTTGAAAAAAAGATTAAATAAAAGGGTGTGGTGTCGGATGTCGGGTTGCGTGTGTGTTTGACTCTTTGTTACTACATCCGCACCCACATTCACACTATCATGTTAAGAATATCTCCTATCTAAAATTCTGTTTCTTTCTTTCAATTTCTCATGCTCGACTTGTTTATATACCAATCATATACATTGTTTTTTTGCTGTTTTTTTCGCGCTTCTAATAATAAAAAAGAAAAAATTTTTCATGTGAAACTTTGTATCATTACATAGTACTTTTTAGCTTTCTATTCACTGACAAATGAGTGAATGTATATTTCAACCAAACATTAATTTCAGCTATACTGGAAAAAAAATAGCACCACACGGAACCATTTTTGAATTTTTTTTGAGACCTTAAACAGGTTTCGTAAAACCCCAAGATAGTCTCGAAACGATTATCAATAGTCCAGGAAACGTTTTCGAAGGTTTTGTGGAAAACCTACGAAACCATTTTAAAGTTCAGTGAGAAAATTCGAAATCTTTTATGAGTTTCGCACTGAGGACGAAAATTTTTTGGTTCCGTGTGGTGCTATTTGCTTTTCAGTGGATGATGTATATTGTCCAATTTCCATCGGATATTGGACAATAAAATAACCAGCAAAAATGTACGTTGTTCAAATTCCATCAGATATTAGACAATAAAATCAGCAGCAAAAATTGATATTGTCGTAATTCCTGAAGAATTTCGACAATTTTGTCCAATTTCCGGTGCAATCGGCCATTTGTTCAAATTCTAGTGGAGATTGGACATTGTCGAAATTCCGATGTCGAGATTCTAGTTGCCCAAGTTCCATTTTCCCTTACAATTGAATGTGATCCAAAATTAAAAGATCAACGTGAAAGATAGGGTTGCACCAATTCCAATTCCAATTCTAGGGTTGGAATTGAAATTGGAATTGGCTATAAATGAGTATAAAATTAACTGAAATTGATGGCAGGCCTCGAAATGGGGCCACTTTTTGATGGCCCGCCCAGTCCGAAAAGAATTTTAATTTCGTGCTAGGCCGGCCCGCCCAGCCCGTCGGGGCATTTTTAAGGGTCCACCCGGTCCGGCCCGACTTATTTGACAAGTGCAAAGAAACTTCTTGCTATTAAAATTTATTTGACAAAATATAAGGTTAGTTTAGACTTCAAAGCGCTAAAAATTTATGAAAATGCATTGATGATATGTGTTTAAGTAAAATTAATATCAGAATAACATGTGACTAGGGATGACCCTTTATCTTTATTTTCCTTTATACTAAAGGATAAAGATAAGTGAATCATTTATCTTTATTAAATAAAGCAAAAATAAAGGAATAAATGGGTTGGTTACCATTTCCCACGAATTGAAATCCACAGATACATCTATACATCATATCCACACTTGTGGTAAATAAAAGCATGTTAGCGCAGCCCCTTTGGGGCTAAAATGTGGAACTCACATATATCCCTTCGGCTTACTAAAATAATTCAAAATAGTTCATTTGAAAAATCTATCCTGGTTTCCAAAACCTATAATTAGGTCATTGCCTATTTTCTTATGTCTGTAATCGAGTATTAATTGTTAGCTAGTATATTTAACAATGGCAGATACTAGTTACTATGGTCTGTAATGGGTAAGTATAGCTTTTTCGTGTAATCTGTAACTAAACAGGGAAGAAATAGCAGCCTAATTAGTGAAGCTCCTAATTAGCATAATTTAGAACTAATTAATGTCTGTAATGGGGAGGGGGAGGTGGGGAGCCGCAAAAATCTCGCTTTTAAACTTACACTCACCATTTTCTTCGAAAATATATGTAAGTTCCACAAAGCACATATGACCCATTCTGGTGACCAAATAGGGATTTTTATTTAGGGATTTTTCAATTTAGGGATTGCTTTATACTATATCCTGTTCAAGTCACAACCGAACAGGGTCCCAGTTAGGAGTTCATCAGTGCCAGTATACTGGGTGCTGGTAAAACTGGTGACCAGAATCAACTCTCCGAATGTCTGATAAGCAGAATTACGTTTCGAAATGATTCTAATGAAAGTTGAGTATGTATGATTCTGGTGACCAATATTCACTGGATAAGTAGACTAGTATAATACTGATTCTGGTGCATCCCTAGTCTCAGAATTCATATCATTCTGTACTTATGTTTCATATTACCCTTAACTGAAGACCTTTTTTATCATTAGTTTTGCAACCGAGATCTCATGCAAATATAACGCATACTGACACCAGATTCAAAACATAATACATATATTCAGTATCTTATGCTTTTTTTGTCATCGTATCTTGTTAATGTGTCTAGTCATTGTAATCTATTTAGAAATAAAATCTGATATTCTCCTTTAAAATGGAATATTGACAAGAATATTGATCCAATCTACTCGAGATAAAGCAGTGTGACAAAAATAAGCAAATCCTTCGCCGTGAAAGCACAGTTAATTTTAAATATGCGCTCTACGGCTATGTCTTGATCTTATTCTCGCGGTTAGACACAAAAATTTTATCATGAGATTGAGATAAAAGTATATTGCTTGTCTGGAAAGTTCAACGAAACTTTTATTTACAATATCCACATTTGAAAGTTTACTCAACATTTAAAACAAAGACTGATCATAGAACTACCAAAAAACTGCAGCACAAAGAAAGAAAGAAACTCATACTATGAAAAAAAAAGTTTTTTAACGTAGAAAAAACAAAGTCATTAATTTCATATAACAAAAAGTATCATAAAAAGCAAAATATCAAAACAACATAGAGAAATAAAAAATTAACAAAGTCTATATGTATATTCTGGTGACTAGAATTAGTTCTAAGAGTTTCTGATAAG